AAAAAAAAAAAAAATGTGCTATTTATCCATTTCACTGTTTTCCTTCTACTGCTCTCACATTTTTCAATACAATTTTTAAATAAAAAATGAATCATACTGAACACTTCGCTATAAATTTACTATTCATCCACTCATGTATTTATAACAATCAACCATTATTTTACTATCTTCTTATCACATAACAATTAAATATTACAATAGTACATCGCTTTACTTTAGTAAAATCATTAACATCCACTAATTATCCTTTCTCCATCAAAAACCTTTCATCAATGAATGGGTTCGAATACATATAAAATTGCACCCAAACCTCTCCATATGCTAAATTAGATTAGTGCAAAAGGCTGGTAGAACTTGCTTTGTCACATGATTCATGTGATTGACTAAATGGACTGATCCCACACTTACGATGAACAAATTTTAGGGGCATGAAATAAGTACATATACTGCAGAAAATATTGCATAAAAACAGGAAAAGGAAGTAAAAGCTTTGTCACTCTAGTACAATAGAAACAACAAATATTTTGAGAATTCGACAAAAGGGAACAAATAAAATAATTATTTTCCACATTATATGGAGCATGAAATGAACTAAAAAAAATCCTACATATAAGCATGGGAATGTTGATTGGAAACAAACAGAAAGACTGAACCACCTTACGGTATCATCCCCAATCTCAGGAATCATGCTAATACAGCGTCGTCTTCTCCTACGAGCTTCCACTGGAGATGCGCCAGCAGACCTTCAGATAGAAGTTCATTACTAAATGAAAAAAACTTCTTCTAAAAAGAAAAGGGATCAAACGATATAACTAACAGCTCAGGAAAATAAAAAGGGACTGGTTGGTTTGAATGCAAACTGGGCACCAACAGATTGTACTTCTTTATCCTGCTAAGACTTCGCGAGCTTTAAGAATGTGAAGTTGATTTCTATAATGTGTTTGTTGTGGTGACATTTGACGAAAGCAACAAATAAGGGTTCTAACTGAAAGATGTATTATCTTTTCTGTTTTTACACTCCAATCTCATTTTTCTTCAACAATTACAAAGAACCAAGTAAATATTATCTTTATCGTGAATACCAAAACACATTTTCTAGCATGTATGTCAATAACACTCATTACTGATAGACAACACTCATTTTCTAGCATGTATGTCAATAACACTCATTACTGATAGATAATGCTTCACCAACTTGAATATTATTGATTGATGAGCTTAAAGATACATTAAGTGACCATGAAGCACATGAAATATATGATTTCTGCTAAAATACAGCAAAATGATTTTATTGCTTAAATGTGCTGGGGATAAAGAAAATGCTGGAAACAATAAATACTAAGCTGAAACCTTGATGCATTAATATCATTGCTGTAGTCTCGAAATGAATGCCTACGACCTCCAAGCAAAGATCTCCCATGTCCACGGAAGAAAGGGTGTTCTGGACTGAAAAACATGAAAATGAAAACCTAAATGAAAATTTTATGGATAATCTTGCAGAAATCATCATGATATAAGCTCAATCACAGAGAAAAATGCTAGCAAGAAAAGTTACATGCCAAGGATAAAGATGAAGTTAAGGAATTAGAAACATTTAGATCAAAATTTAAGAGAAACATTTGAAACTTAGTGGCTGAAAAAAAAAAAGAATGGAAGAGGAAACCGGAGTTTCTCGGAATTGAAAAGCACATAAATGTCACTTTAATGACTTACGTGCACATGCAAATTCATTTGGTTCCAGTTTATGTATATACCAAACTAGTAAAGTTTTTTGTACATACCAAAATAGTAACCACAACGCGAGATCAATACACATGCTTAATAAAAATGTGCAAATCCAATCTTCCATTATAAGCACTCAGACAAAGAAAAAAAATAAATGGTATCCAGCCAACAGAGTTACAAAACCTTGAACCTGCTGTCTTCTGTTCAGCTATCTCTTTCTTCAGGTTACGCCGCCAAAATGAATTTGCCACAGTTGGTTCACTATGCGATAATCTGAAAATGTAACATTTGCTCAACAGTCCTACCCTAAAAATTACTTCAATCTAATAAAACCATCATTTTTAGTAAAAACTAAAGAAATAGGAAAAATTCTACACATGCACCTTTGGTCCACTAAAAATGAAATGCATCTAGAGATTACAATAACAGCTGTTCAAACATATTTCATTTTCAAACAAGGCGTCGTGTTGACACCTATAGTCCAGTCAATATTTAGTTACTTGTTTCCTATAAAGTTTTATCTAGAGGAACTCAATAATAAGCCCAAGATTCAGCCTAAAGCAAACAAACAAGTGTGATTTAAGTCACTCAAACTATATGGGTCCTGGTCCAAGATACTGGTTCTTACCCCTCAACTTGGGTTTGATCTGGAAAGACACACATAGGGCTGTTTGGCTCGATGGGAGAATCATATGAGTCATTTTCTGCAGAATCACTCTCACCTGCAGAGAGATGAGAAAGAAACACAGCCTTTGCCGAGCATGATAGCAGCTTGCCAGGATTACGCCCAAGATCAACCAAAAATTCTACAGAATTCAAAACTACTACAACAGATATGTGCTTATATGTATCTGTCCGTTCCATTACTCCATCTCTAGGCAAACCCTGCAACAAAATATTTTTTTTTCAGATGATTACGTATTTAGAAATTAACATTATCAGCTAAATAACAACTACAAAGACAAGCAGTTGATAGTATGACAAGAAAATGTTTCAATTATTCACTGTATATGGCACCTTACCACCATAAGCATACTTTCCAGGCCGACAGTATCAGCGAGAACTTTGAATAAGATGGCCCTGGAATGGCACGAGCCATGCTTTATGTGTCCCACCAAGTGAATACCTTGATTATCAAGTGCATGAGAGACTTCTTCGAGTGCACCTTTCACAAGATCAGGCTCCAATTTCGGTCTTTTAAAGAAATCGCAAACCTATATTAAGCCAATTAGAAATTAAGCAAAAAGTTCAAGAGAAAAATGTGTATGCCATGGAGACATAAATGCTTGTAGAATGAGCAAAGGACTCAAAGATAGATAATTCCACTAGCAATCAGGTATGTGGCAATACATACATTCCTCGATAAAAAAGGAAGTATATGGAAAACATGACATGAAGGGAGTATGAGCACACACCAATCCAGCTATCTTCTTGATCATTGCAGCAGGATTCGAATTCAGTCCTTTCACCAAAGTGACAGCAAGCTGCTTCAACATAGAAAGCTTCTTATCTTTCCGTGCATCCACAAGAATGACATTTGGCCTAAGCCCCTCGGCATCCATTGCCTGGAGGTCATCTATTGTTGGAATAGTATCAAAAAGCTCCTTAAATCTTCTTTCCTACAGAACATGAAGCATTACACATCAACATAATTAGCCAGCGGCAAATTAGGACGTAATCTATGCTCTGAAATAAAAACCAACTTACTTCATGCAATTTTAAATGCTGGTTACAATTTCAAATATGACCAGAATAAGTCTAGCTTACAAAAACTATGGCGTATAAAAACATTTACGGATACACTTACAGGACTGACAAAATAGAAACCATCAGGAATGGGTTCGGCTAGCTTTCCAGTGTCCCACAAAGTCTGTGATGCCACTTGATATGCGCTCTCAATGTCGAGTTGTCCTCTTGATCCTTTAGAACTTGAGGCTTCATCTGATGAAACCAGAGAAAATGACCGCAGTTTATCAATAAGATCTGAGGGCCACCATTGGGTATTATGACCTTGTGCTTCCACTGGCTTTGTTTCGTCCTTTGATTCCTCCATATTTTCTCAAATTTGAAATACAATATCATGTTTGATGGCTTCTAGCATACATATCATGAGCAAAACAAACTTTGCTCCCGAAAACAGATTCATAAACAGGTTCTCCTACAATCGATACGAAGCACAGAATCTGCCAACTGAAAAAAAGAAGAGACATATGGTAATTTTTACTTTCATTTCATTTGTTTCTTACATTCTTCACCAGTTAGCAATTTTGAGAAATATATGCATATAAGTGGAAAAATTATAGCTGAAGAAGCATCAAATACTATAGTCAAAAACCGTCCAGGATTACCGAATTCTGACCCCAAACAACTTCCGAAATGCAGAATGGTTTACAAACATAGAATAGTGAGTAATAAATTCTAACAATTAATTTTATTATGTTACTTTTTCCTTATTTGGTTGCGCGCAAGGGGGCAGGGCTTACCAAATAATCTTGTTAAGAAGAATTGGCAACAAAATGTGGGGAAAAAAAAAAACCAAATTCACCAAGCAGATAGCTCTACTTAATGTAAAAAATCAAAGCTCGCAAATGCCATGCATCGAGTAATTGAGAAAGCCATCAAAGGACGTAAAATAAATGCAGAGCATCTTACAAAGGCATTTCTTGATTAGTGATTAGCGATCAGTCTACCAAAAAGAAAGCGAGTCCTCTGCTCGCTAAAGGAGCATTCAAGCATCGGGGGTGAAAAGAGAAAGCCAAGTCGACTTTTATCACTGATGAGTCAACCTTTCGGAACACAATTTATTTTTAATAACAAATGAGATCTGGTTACAAGAATACAAAACATGCAAGTGATAAACTGATAGTCAGCAATCTATGCACGTAAGCTCCACGAGGATCAGTGTCTAAACCCCACGACAAACTGTTTGTCTGGGGGATAAAAATTCAAATCACTCCATACTCTAAACCCGAAAGGCAGGAAACTACAAGAAATAGCCTTATCTAATTTGTTCTTGGTGAAGTAAAAGCTGAAGCGAAAAGAAATGAAGATGCTCACAGAGGAAAAAACTCACTGTAGTGAAAAGGTCAAGAACTTTGATCTGAAGAACGTTTCTCAATTCCATTACAAGAAACCAAACAACCAATACGAAATCCAAGACATTGCTAGCTACCAACCAAAAGAAAATAAGAACACAAATGAAACTATATAGTAACCACCACAAACCGTTCCACTGCCAAAACCAAAAGGGGTTACCTTACCACTCAACTTATGTAATCCTTCTGACTGAAAATTGAAGAAAAATGGAGGAAAATGAACAAGACGAAGATAGCATCTTAATTTAATCTCGATTCTCAATTAAAAAAAGAAGACACATAAACATCATTAATCAGCACCAAACAAGCCAAATGACATCATCGATTGGGAAATCCCACAGTTCCCCTAAATCAACAACCACCCAAATTCAGCTCAAAAAACCACCTCCAACTCCATTGCCGATTTAATTTCAAGAAAACAATGCCAAAACAATACTTCTCGATCATCGAACTCCAATGAATCAAGCAACTAAATTTTAAACAAAAAAAAAAAAAACAAAAAAACATGAACTCGCAAACACGAAAAGAATCAGCAAATATTGAAGGCAAATAACAATCACAGCGCATAATTCACCGGAAGATCGGAGGGCGGGAATCTCAGAACGGCGCCGGGAAGCATGGCATCTGAATCTGAGTGAGCAGCATTAACTCTTGTTCTGCGATTTACGTCATCATTTCAAAGTAGATAATTAGAAGAGCTGATACTTGCTTAATGAGCGCCATATATATAATTAACGCCAACGACTTTAGCTGCGCCATTAACACTTTTCACGATTTTGTAAATCTCCACATTTGTCATTGCTTTTATGGTTACCAACTATTATGTCGAAATTTGTAATCGATAGATCATAATGTAACTGTTGTGAATAGTTGATCTCACAATTACAAACCCCGACCGAATGGTTTCGTAACGGAATAGTAGAATCTCCCTAAATTTTATGTGTATGAATTTCGGTAATTTGTAAGTATTTGGTTAGTTTGTGGTTATTTGGAATAATCAAAAGGTTTTGGCTTTTAATTATTAAAATAAAGGGTATTACTATTTACCACTCTCTTTTACTAATCATCGCCCTCCAATGACGTTTTTGCCTTTATAACTATCTCTCTATTTTCTCTGTCTACTCTTTCTCTCTCTCGACTTTCCACGGCTCTTTTGTATTTATTATCAACTAGTACAACACCCGTGTATTACACGGGTGCTAGCTAATTTTTTTCTTAAAGTTTAAAATTAATGAAAAAATAGTTTGAAAACTTAAATACATTTTATAAGAATATATATATATTATTATATATTTATTATGATACTTTTTATTTGTGCGGCTTACTTGTGTTATATTTAGGGATATATTAGTCACTGTCTCACTATATAAAATTACAAATAATTAAAGGGTTATATTAGTAAAAGTGATATTAAAATACCTAAGTTAGCTAAGTAATATTTATGGAATACCCGAACCTAGATTATTAATTATTAATATATTAATATTATTTGTCCAAACCTAATTACGAAGCATGATTCTTCGCCAAATAGGATTCCGAAGCACCAGAAGCAGCCACGTAGGCTTAGCGCATTCTGCAATTATATATAGGGAGGATTATTCATGTGTGTATTGCATTATTTGGATTGTAGGGATAGTGATAGAAATTATTGTCAAGGATTACGTGGATTTCAGTTTTTTAGATTCCTTGTATTAGATCATTGGAATAGTAGTAGTGAATAATGATGGAAAGTAAGTGTTGATTAAGAGACAAATATAAAATACATTACAACTTTTAGTTTAAAATATTCTTTAAAAATAAAATAATTTGATTTTATGTATAACATCACTTTGTATTTTAATTTAATTGTCGAACTATATATTTTTAATCATAATAGTAAAATGCACGTATATGATTTTATAATTTGGATGTCAAACTATATTTTTTTTACTTTATATGTAATTTTAAAATTTGGATAATTAAATATTATTTTTTATTAGATTGACTACATACCAATTTAAAACATATATTTTTTTAAGAAATAATATTATTTTATTTCATAATCAAAATAAAATAATATACCGTGATAAAATATAATATTTGCCACAACTTTTTATTCATATTTTATCAAACAATATGTTATAATATTTGTCACAAATTTTTTGAATTTTTCCATCAACTATTTAGTAATCGAAATAATATATCGTGACAAAATACGAAAAAGGAGAGATACAAAGAGAGAGGTACTTTCGTAAGTATTATTTATTGATATTGTTTTATTATGTTAAATTTTTTTCTTAATTATAAACAAGTATTTTATAATTACAAATATTGTATAACAAGTGAAATATATATATCAAATTAAATTATAAAAATAAACCAAATGATACAAAATAATAATAATATTTAAAGTTATTTTTGTACTAATTAATATTCTTTCAATGCTTTAATTTATATTGTGTACAATTGTTACTACATGCATTGCATGGACGACGCACTAGTGAATATTGTAAAAACATTGGTGTATGAATAGGGCGGGTTGAGTTGGGCGCGTGGTAAATACTCAGACCTGTATTATTCATTATATAGGATAAATCAAGTCTTAAACATATTGTAAGCGAGGTGAGTCCCGGGCTAAATTGCCATCCTTACACGGGCCCAACTCTGATTTTTGTTTGAACCTTGGTGAACTAGCCTGGGTCGGATGGGCAAATGATTTGACTTGCCGAAGCCGACTAGCCTGGCCTGCTGGGTCAACAAGAGGGTCCGGCCCAGTGGCTATGTCTAGATAGAATTCTTTTTTGATCATATCATGGGCCGGTTGATCCATTTATTCATTCCAATGACTTCTTCATCTTAATGTGGCCCATGGACATGAATATAAACGGCCCATAAGTGACTCTCATCAAATATACAAAGTTCTTTTAAGTGCTTTTTTTTCCCTAGACCCTAAATATCCACACATTTTCTATTCTAAATAAATATGTCGTTCTTTTCCCAATGCATTTGTAATTGTATTAATTAGTTTCACTTAACTCACGAACACTCAAAAAATGCATAAATCAATTAAAAATGTCATATCAAAACACCAACCAACATTTCTATTTTTTTTTTTATTATTTTTCTTTCTACCTACAAGACGAAATTCCACCAAAATACCTTCCTCTTCCCCTTTACCTTTTCCTGTTGCCTTTTTTTTTTTATAATGACGAACTTCCGCGAACGACGTGATCCGACGATGGACGGACTACCCTATCTAGCAATATTTCGTCTTTCTCAGTCAATATTTGGTCGTTTTCCAGTGAAAAGTTAAGGTGGACAGTAAACTATGTATTTTCTGAGGATTGAGGAGTCCGAAACTCGTCTATTATTCATATTCTTTTTATATTTTGTTAAGGATTTAATTTTGAATATTGTCTTTTATATTCACCCCAATACAATATATAAGGATAGCAATCTCTTTGTTATTGTCCATATCTACCAGCATCTTATGTTATTGTTAGGCTATGTTAGATTATAGTTACCCTAAGATATAAAATAAGCTTACATGGAATTACCATTGTTCACTGATGCCTGATTATTATACCTCTTTCATCATTATTTGATACTAATTGCTCTGTGAACTTTAAAATTTCATTTTATCCTACTCATTTAAAATTTTGCATTATTTTATATACAATGCTTTAGGGAGATGTGCCTACAAAAATAAATTGTTTGACTTCTCTATACTCGGCCTTGAAAAAATGTACACCTCATTTGTAAGAGGTGGCCAAATGTAAATTAAGAATCCTTCATGTTATGTTATACTGCGCCCAGTGGAAAAAAGCAAATGAGTTTGTTCGATGATGACAATATGAAAATCATGATTTGGTGCACGTGTGTTCGAAAGTAAGTATTGTAGATATACTTGTTGAAAAAAAAGTGAAAGACTATATCATAGTGCTTGTTGCTATATGGATTCGTAGCAATGGATGTGAAT